ACCTCCGCCACCAGGTTGTTGCGGGCCACTTCGAAGAACGAACGCCACTTCCGCATCGTCTTCACTCACATCAACATCGTCATCATCGTGTTCGTCCTCCCGATCCTCATCATCCTCACCCTCACCTTCGTCGTCTTCCTCATCAACATCGTGGTCGTCATCATCGTCATCATCATCATCGTCGTCATCGTCATCTAGAACATCATCTTCCTGACTGTTTTCGGCTTCACCTCCCTGGCCTGCACTTCCCTCATCTTCTTCGTCATCGTGAACAAATATGATTGAATCATCTTGTTCGCCTGCGTCAACAGAATGATGCCAAGCAGAACGAGATTCTGAGGCCGGACGACCAGAATCGGGACGCATTAAACCTCCGGAGCCTTGGCTGCTCATCAAAACATTTTCTAAGACCATATTCAGAGCGGCAGCACTGGACGATGGAACACCAGTATTCGTGTGGTCCACACGCGCGCCCGCAGTCAAAGAATCGCCAGCTGATGTTTGCCGTTCGTGATTGTGCTGATTTTGTGCACCCACGTCATGATCGTCATCGTCATCATCGTCATCCGAATCTGTTTCATACAAACGGTTCCCGGCGGTACCGTCAGATGTTGTTGCAGGACCAGTAGATGGATGAACTGAACTTCGTCCGGCTTGATCAACTCCAACAGAGCCTACATTGGCGGCGCCGTGGGAAACAGATGATTGTTGCTCGTTAACTCTGGACTGCGATGCATTTGTTCGATTTTGTTCATTTGAAATAGTGGTCGGATGATCTGAATTGGAATGTACTAATTTGCTTATTTGACGCTCAACCAAGGTTAGGCTCTCCAGTGTCCGAACCATTACATCTAGAGTGGATTGTGTGTTTGGTAGGTTGCATTCAACGACGGCTATCAGTTTCGCAATATCCGCCGGAATGTGACGCTTGTAAATAACGCGAAATAGACGGTTCACCAACGAAGTAGGTAGTGACAACAGCCGTTCAAGAAACAGCATGTGAGCAGCTAAACAGTCGTTTTTCTGAGATTGTACAACGTCAGCTGGTATCACGACAGCATCCTCTGGTGTTGATAGGACACTGTTCAGAGNTTCAGAGAAGTTATGCGACCCAAAGAGTTCCTGAACTCATTGATTATGACGGTTTGTGTTGATTCAGAACAAACAAGTACCAGATTTTCCAGCAAAGAAGTGGTTAACTCAGTCGTTTCAGGATGATTCAATTGATAAGTAAACAAATGACAGAGAAAAGATGAAGACCGTTCTGTTGATCCCNTTTGGTAGTCCCTTTGGCTGGGGCGCTGACGAGAGTGGATGTAGAGGATGCATCCGTGAGAGCCCGTTGCTGACCTGACTGTGGCTGTTGTTGTCGCTGATACTGATGTGAAGAAATGCTCGACATATGTCCCAAAGTCTGTCCACTAGTCCAGGTGGTTGTAGTGGTGCTTGAGGCTGGAGAGATGCAAGTGGACAAAGTTGGTACACCAGTTGCCATCGTGGTGTAGGCATCGTTATCCGGTTGAAGATCAACATCCTGGAATGAAATTTGAGAAAAAGCTTACTTTCAACAATGGGTAGCTCAGATAACAGCAAACGAAAGGAGGAAAAGTGAAAACCATGAATTGATGAGCCTGACTACAGATAAACTACAAACAACAACCAAAGACATCTGATAGAAAGAAAAGCCGTGAATGAATTCTCTTTTTCATTCTGCCACTGATTTGAACATTTCAATCCTCCCTTCCCTCATTCATCTAAATGGGAAGCCACCAAAACCACCGAACAAAAGTGAATGGTTAATGGTTGGAAAAACTGAAAGCTGAACTGATAACATACCTCAATGCAATTACACGATGGACTCAGACCAAATCTGAGCTTCCTCGGGCAGCTCGAATTAGGAGGATGAACAATGAGATCGATTAACCGAGTGAGAATCCGCTTTTGTCGAGCTGATAAAGTGATGTTGTCAATTTCCGATTTCGTAGATGTATTGGCTGGCTCCACAAGATAGGTCTTCGGTACAGTTTTTGCTGAAAATGAGAAAGTAGCGGTGCATTCGGTTATAACTTAATGCGTAATTATTTACTGAGAGCATTGAACAATACCTGTGGTTAACTGATCAGCAAAAACTGCTGACCGAATAACGTGCAACGAGAATGACGGAATATTTGAGAGGTATGTGATGAACAGCAGACGGGGTAAATCCCATAGTCACGAGGACCTGCTGTTCAGTGATGGAACCCGGTAACCTAAGCCCCGGGACTAGGAGTGATGAACCACATAAGGCCCCAATAGGTTGGGTATGGTATTGAACCGGACGAGAGCAAAGCTACCTACCACCAAAGCCGGGTGGCGGTGGTGGGACTCGAACCTCGGACCGTAGGGTCCAAAGCACGCTTGTGACACCGACTAAACTACTGCACCACCAACACACGTTATTGGATGTGCTAAAGACAAAACAAATATAAAACAGCATGTGATGAAAACTGTTGACAGGTGATTATAAACCATCAAAAACGCTCCATTTGAGAGGATAATGAGCCACAGTGGTAGGGAAAGAGAATACACTTATGAGGGTACTAATCAGTTTGAACCATAAACAGTACTAATGATATTGAATAACTGGTCTGATTTGACCTAGGTAGGTGGAGGACTATTAGAAATCCTTTGAAAAGACTACTACGGATACTGATAATAATGAAAGACAATACCAAAAGCGACCACGTCACTGCTGATTATCCTCCGGATTGACAAACGAAATACGCAGAAATGCATCAGTTGGGTTGAACAATACGTTCTCAATCAAACATACTCTTACCTTGCACATCTGTATCCGACAGCGTAAGATTCATTGCTTCACAGGCCAACTTGCAGGCCGTTTCACGATTCTTGGCAAACAAAGGTGCACACATGCTGAGTAAATAAAACAAATCACGGCAGCCCAGCTGACTAGCCCCAATTCCCATGTATCCACTGGGAACACCGAACTGTGACATTTTGTGCAGAACATCCTTCATCACGCTGTACACTGTCGCCTCATCATCAAAAAACTGAAACAAAGAAAGAGAATTTCGTACCTGTTAGATGACTGTTATCAGGCGGAAGAACAGTGTTCAGTGCTCTTATCACAGAGTAAAAGGAATAATCAGTATCATGCAAAAAGAGCGGAGTACAAACCTGGGTGAGTAGCATGCCAACAAATGCCGAGTACTCAGAACTGAATTCGCGTTCATGTGGATAACTGAGAAGCACAGAGAGAAAATTTGAGTCTGCTAGTTCCCCGGCATCGTCGTAGTTCGAATAGGTCAACCGTAGCAGCAGTCGCAGCATGGCGTTGAGACAATCCGATGGGATGAGCATTGGGGTCCGGCTGTTGATTGAATGATCTAGGGGGTCTAAGGGCAACTCAGACACGGCCTCGAAGTGATTATGAATGGCCGCAAACAGCATTTTGCGGAGCTTCGGATCCAAAGCAGGGGGAATCTCAGTATCTATTGTTGATCGTTCATATTCTGTGGGACTGGCATCTGCAGGAATGGTAAGTGGGGAAGATAACTGACATAAAGACCTCAATAACAAGTTGAAAAATTAGGCTTCCAGAAGATCGGAAACAATCACTGCACCTTGAGAAAAGAAGAGTGATTCAGTTAGATCTTCATTTCACTCTAATAGGTGTAAAAGCAAGAAGATAAATGATTTTAAAAACGAAAACAAACTACAATGGAACGCAACTTATTCCCGCAATCACCAATACTCAACTGTTCCATAGCGCCCACCCTAAGTGACAAGCTTAAACAGAATTGTGTTCATTCTAAGGTTGCTCCCAATTTATTACAATATTTAGTCATCATAAAGGTGTACGACTGTTGTGTTTTGTTTCGCAAAACCTCGTAGGCGAAATGAAGATAGGCATCAGCAGTATTGCGTAAGGTTAGTGAGGAGATCCCTTACACTGTTCCGTGCATGGTTTAAATCAACATCTGGTCAGGTGTGTCACGTGGATAGTATGCCTGAACTTCCCCGTGAAGTGGGATTGATGTATGAATTAACAACTGATCCGTTTCAGATCCGTTTATTCTACAAACAACGAGCCCAACCACGGAAGAAAAAAAACGAACTCGAGGAGAGTGTATTAATGGAACACTACAGTGGGGCACTACATGGTGGGGTAAAGCGCACCGATGAAATTAAGGTACCGCCAACGTGTCGGATGATGATGTGGCTAAATTAGTTGAAAAGAAAAAGATTAACTTCACTTAACGTACAAGTATTCAGTTCAATTCACTTTGTGCAACCATTAACCATACACTATTGTGCGCCGGTTTTGGTTGCTGTCTTTTGGCTGCCCATTTGGATGAACATTAGGAGAAAGACAGGAAAGCCTTGAAGTAGGGTCAAAGAGAAAATTTAGAATTTCATTGGACTAATGTTGCAGCGAAGTTGACAAGATGTACCCACGCCACTGATTACGACACAGCCATGCCACTCAGTGTCTCTAATCATCGGGTACGATCATCCCAAGGTCCACAGCCAGGCAGCCCAACGGGACCTATGTGACTCAGACTCCTGGTTAGGGTTTTCATACCCGTACAAGTGTTAGGGACGATTGGCAGGAGAAATGCTGAGCCGGCAGGCTATCGTGTCCCGAAAGGCATCGTCGTCTTCACTGGCCTCCATTATCTACCCGAATCTTGCTTGCGGTTTCAAGAAGCTGAGAGAGATTTGCTGTCCGACCAAACGTTCATAAATAAAATCTGGAAAACCAGTATGAGTGTAAAGATCCCTGAACTGAATCTACACCAGTCGAATCGTAAATGAGTTCCTACTGAGCCACCGGGAACCATGCACCAAAGCGCAATCTTTTAGTCTGAACCCTGGAAATAAAAACCTCGAATCAAGGTTACACTTTCAGAAAACTTCGGGGCTAATTACGAAGTCAGTCCATTATACCCAATGGCAAATAATAGCACCAAAATGTAATTTATTGCAAGTTTTACCTGAACCGGTAGACGGAGGAAACAACAACGCCGGGCGACGATGCATGCTGTCCAAATTCATCTGGGTCATCGTTGGAAATTCCACACAATAAGGGCGTCGAGTGATGTGACAATAGGCGCATAGTTCCCCTTTGTGGTAGGCGATATCGATCGCTCGAGTACTCTCTGTAGTGTATGGATGCCATAGCATGGCATGATCATCGAACCAGTGCCAGCTGTGAGCGTTCAGATACAGTTTGACACTTTGTTTCCTCAATTCCATGGCCTATATGCAAAATACATTNTAAGGAAAATCGAAATAGACATTTAATGACAGCTTGACGGATAGTTACGCAGACCAGCAGAGGAAAGGGCACATTCTAGCTGTAATTTAGAAAACAATATGACAGCGGATAAGCAAACGTAGGTGATCACAATTGGTGATGAAACTGATATAAAACAATGATGATAAACAACGATGATAACGATAAGCGACAATCGGAAACCAGGTGCAGAACAAACCTGTACACTGCGCTCATACTGATCCAAAATCAGAGTGGCCAATAACATAGTTTGGAAGTAATCTTTGGTCTGCTGTCGGACAGAATCCGAATCGCACGCCTGTTCCATCCCATCTGCCTTATCCACATCCATTGGCTCACAGTGAACCGAACCTTGCAACCAACTCGGAGTCCAATCTGGTCGAACAATCCAATGTACCAACAGGTTCGNTGCTTCCAAGCCAAGCGCGCACACAGTGAATGACAGCGTGTAAACAGCAAGGCGGATAAGTGAAGGCCAACAATGGGATATTCATCCGGTGATTTTGTCAAGGACGAATCACATCCAAAAGCGGTAGCCTCAGGCTTCGGAGGAAGCACTGCAGTTTCGGAACCAGAGGTTCGCGAGTGAGAAGAGACGCTTGTAGCGACAAAACTGAATAACTGGTCGATGTATCGTTCTTCTTCTCCACTAGATAGCAACAGCT